CCTTCTCCATTCTCTCAATTGCTGAGATAATTTAGTGCAAATCACTTTTGCAGTTTGAACTCAATTTGCAACATGTGAAGTAAGCTGAGAACAGAGAGTGAAATCGGAAGGAGAACAGAGAAACTGGGACATTTTGAAGCATCTGGAAATGTGGGACAACAGAAGGATTAAACTGGACTCTCCCTGCCAAATCAGAACATTTGGAGGGTATTTTCTGTCAGATGTATATCACTAGGAGTTTTTCGCACAGCTAAAAAAAACGGTTTACCTTTCCTGGTTTGAATCCTCTTGCGGGATGCAGCTGGGTATTATCACAATGAAAAACTCCTAAATTCGCCGCTGATCCCGCCAGCTGAGTGCAGCCCAGCTGCATACCGGCAGCCATTTTTCAAAACTGGGAGCTTTTCAGCTTTGAAAAGGGGCACCTAGGAACCGGGCTGCAGCCAGGCTTGGCCGGTAGAATCCGTGGCAAATTTGGGAGTTTGATATTATCCAGCTGCATCCCAGAAGAGAATTCAAACCAAGAAAGGTAAGCCAGTTTTTGTAGCTGTGTAAAAAAATCCTGAGTTATGTTTCCAAGCTCTGCTGCCAGTTTCTAGGATTCATAGAATTATAAAGTTGAAAGAGACCACAAGGACCATCCAGTCCAACCTCCTGCCATGCAGGAATACACAATCAAATTACAGCTGACAGATGGCCATTCAGCCTCTGTTTAAAAACCTCCAAAGAATAAGACTCCACCACTTTCCAAGGCAAAGTGTTCCACTGTCGAACAGTGTCAGGAAGTTCTTTCTAATGTTTAGATGCAAACTCTTTTCCTGTAACTTGAATCCATTGTTCTGTGTTCAGGTCTCTGGATCAGAGGAAAACAAGCTTGCTCGATCCTCAACATGATGTCTCTTCAAATGTTTAAACAGAGCTACCATGTCCCCCCCCCCCCCCCCCCGCTTTACCTCCTTTTCTCCAAGCTAAACATACCCAGCTCCCTAAGCCATTCCTCATAGGGCATGGTTTCCAGATATTTCACCATTTGTGTTACCCTCCTCTGGAGACCTGGATTGCAGCACTTCCTGTTTGGTTTATTTCCCTAAAATAGTTTATATCCCTCTATTACTACATTCCAGTCATTAGGCTCATCCCACCAGGTTTCAGTGATACCTATTATATCACATTTGCTTTGCTGTACTAAGAGTTCAAGTTCATCTTGTTTATTTTCCATACTTTGTGCATTAGCATAGAGCAATATAAGACCATGGGCCATTCCCCCATCTGCCTTGTATTTTCCCCTCCCACTGTGGGTTTTTGTGTTATCTGCCTTACTCTCTGTATAACATTTGGACTAGAATCTCCTCAATCCCTTCCAGTCCTATAGCAGGCCTATATTAGGAGGTCTACCATTGAGTTAAACGTATACCCTTGTAAAGCCATGATAAGCAGAACTGCCCTAAGATATTTTGCTGTCTAAAGTTGAAGACTGAATGGTGTCCCTTACTCCTGCAGATCAAAGGGCATAGTACCATAAACCAACAAGGTTATTTTGGCACCTAAGACAAAAAAACTCACATGTACCTCTTCTTCTCTAAAATACATAACATGCATACAGTAATAATGAGTTGAATAATAGGACATTTGCTGCATTTTAACTGGAACCCAAAACCAGCTGCCTCCATTCTGCCCAAAGTTAGGTTGGGCAACTGCAGTGGTGACACAGACCAGTTTTTGTCCCTTCCCCCCAAAACTAGGCTGCATTATCTAGAAATCACAACTAGAAGTCTCCTCCAGTTTCACTAAAGTCCTGGAGTGGCAATTGTAAATGGGGGTAAATTGTTGTTGTGTGCCCTCAAGTCATTTCTGATTTGTGGTGACCTTAAGCTTGGCTTACAGCCTTATCACAGGCAAGAATTGCTCAGAGAAGGTTTTGCCTTTGCCTCCCTGAAGCCAAGAGTGTGTGACTTGCTCAAGATCATCCAATGGGTTTCCATGGCTGAGTAGGGATTCAAACCCTTGTCTCCAGAGTCATAGACCCACTCTCAAACCACTTCACCATGCTAACTCTGTAAATTGTTTGGCATTTTTATTCCCCTTTCAGCGTTTGAGGGCACATGTTTGCCCAGAATATTTTTAAAGCATTGGGTATAAGGCTTTTGTGGGGGATCTCAAAGAAACCTGGGAGGCCAAAAAAGGCCATGGAAGCCAGAGTGTAAACTAGGGAGGACTTTTTACAGTACTTTTGATGGCTGTGTAGAAGAGGGAATTTCAGCAACTGTAACAAGCTGCACTTCCTGGAATTCCCTCTTCAACAAAACCATTAAAGGTACAAGAACTGTCTCCAGATTTTAGTCTGGCATCCCTAGGACTGCATGAATCCCATGAACTACTGTTTCACCACTCTATTCATGTAGCTACGTATTGCCCCTCCTCAAAATTCTGTCCTGCCCATGAAATTTTTTTTCATTACCCAAATTTCTAGCATTGCAATAAGGCAAAACATAAGTTAAGCATTGAGAAATACAGTGTAAGCATCAGAGAAAAGGGAAGTCAAATTAATGAAAGGATTGTGAACCCAGCGTCTCATTCTCTGCAATACTATAAATTTGGGGACTGAACAAAAATTTCATGCAGGGCACAAAATTATTTGGAAGGGCAATGCCTTCATTTTGCCCCACTCTTCCATAGCTACACCCTAGTCCTCACCTAAGGGTAGGACTGGTCCTACATAAATCTCAAGAGAAACGGAAATTTCATCAAATGCAGCAGCAGCAGCCCTACTCTGCTTATGGTTTCCCCTCCAGAAATTTATCCCATCATTAATATTGGTATCTTGTGACATTAAAAGCAACATCCTTCACATGCTTGTTGCCAATAAACTTGTTTCAGAAAACTTGTTAAGATGTAATCTTAAAAGCATGTAAGAAACCAAACTGCCAACAAGCATGCTGAGCTACCATTGCAGAACAAAATGCTAAGATGACTGCAGTATTTTGAAGGAGAATCAAAACATATGGTGGTATAATGGAGCATGAATTTACAGCAGCAAAGATGTACACTGCAGATTAAAGCTTCATCTGGGAGGACATACTGCATCACAGCAGAAAACTCCAGTTATTGCGATTGGTTCTTT